ATACTTAAACGGCTTTAAAGTCTGGCACGGTTTCAGCAGCGGGCAGTAGATTTCCTTGTAACGTGAGGGACAGCTTGAACCTGCGCCTTGTGGGAAGTTGCCCAGAGGGAGAATGGGGGTAGACTTTTTTTTTTTGGTGAAAATAACGCGCATTCTTCTTTAAAACTTAAATGGGTGGACGTAGCAGGAGGATTTGGTAGCGTCTTGTTTGTTTAAATGGCAAATACGAGCAGAATTCACAAAACCTCTTTAGATGTGAAGCGTGTCTGCCGGGGCTCTGCAGCTCCCGCCAACAGCCACTGGGACAGAGCGGGTTGCAACGGCCTTGTGTTAGGCATAAGCACAGATTAGAAAATAAATGATTGCTTTACAGCATCGTGTGCCCTGGGAGTAGCCGTTTCTTTGGGCAGCGTGAGGCTCGGGTTTGTGTTTGCACGTCCTGCTCGCAGGGAAGCTGATTTTCTCCCTCTCGACCCATGCTCAGTCAATTCAGAGCAGTAGCTGCTCAGCCTTTCAACAAGGGGTGAAATACTCGCTTGTACTTCTCCTTTTACCGCCTTTCTTGGCTGATTCGTTCCATCCTCTCAAAACTCCCTCTCTGTAAAACAAAGTTTTGAAGCCTTTGACCACGTTTGCTGAGCACTAATGATTTCGTGCATGGTATTCCTTCCTCAAGATTTAACTGAGCCGAAGCCATGGTGCTGAGATCTCTGGGATCGCAGTGCTTGGTGTGTGAGCTTTGGCAGGTTTGCGCAGGGGAAATTTCCAAGGTGGAAGCGGGAGGTTTCAATCCATAGCGTGCTCAGGTTGCTCCGTGTTCTGCTCGTCCTCGCTTCTGGGAGGCAGCGGTGATTCGGGGCGTGCGGGATGCTCTGTGTAACGGCTGGGCCAGCGGGGCTCGGATTTGTCTTCGTTATATTACAGGAGGCTTTCAACTGACACTTTAGACAAGCCAAGAAAAAGACAATATTTGAATACTAGCATTCTGAACACTACTCTTTAATTTCTTTTTCAGCAAGAAACATGCTTCAGGACTTGCGGTACAGAGTCTGAAGGCCACTGACAGGCTTCTGCAAATGAGATACTGCCCAGTTCCAGTCAGTGTCATGTATATAAGAATATTAAAATGTTTTCTTTTTCTACTCCTTCTATTTTCTGTTGTAACAGTGTGGTACGTAACTTTTTCTTCTGACACTGTGCTCGAGCGCACCAACATGATGTATTTCTATGAATACGAACCGATTTACAAGCAACGCTACCTCTTCACGCTGCGGGAGCGCTCGAAATGCGAAGACATAAATCCATTTCTAGTCATCCTGGTATCTTCACATCCTAAGAACGTGAAGTCGCGCCAGGCCATCCGGATAACGTGGGGATTGCAAAACTCCTGGTGGGGACACCGGATTCTAACTCTTTTCTTACTAGGTCAGGACACTCCAGGAGAAGACACAGCGGCAGCGCTCTCAGTGGAAGATGAAAGCATCCTCTATGGCGATATAATTCGCCAAGATTTCATGGACACTTACGACAATCTCACCTTGAAAACCGTCATGGCGTTCCGGTGGGTCGCCGAGTTCTGCTCGAGTGCTCGATTCCTCATGAAGACCGATGATGACGTCTTCATCAACCCCGCGAACTTGGTGAAGTTTCTTCTGAAGCTGAATTCCTCAGAAAACATTTTTACTGGTTACCCTTTTACAGATAACTTTGCCTACAGAGGCTTTTACACAAAAAGGTACATTTCTTACGAAGAATATCCCTTCAGGTTCTATCCTCCGTATTGCAGTGGCATGGGTTATATATTGGATGCAAAACTGGCTCTGAGGATTTATGAACTGATGAGTCATATCAAACCTATTAAATTTGAGGATGTTTATGTTGGTATTTGCTTAAATATACTTAAGGTGGACATCAGTGTTCCAGAAGACAAAGAGCAGTTCTTCCTTTATAAAATTAATTTTGATATCTGTAAGTATAGACATTTGATCGCAGTACATGGCCTCACACCAAGTGAAACAATCGGGATTTGGCAGGAGTTGTCATCAAACACTTCAGTTATTTGCCTTTGATTCCGTGTTAATATATAATCTTAAAGGTATTCAGCGTGAAAATGTTTGAAGTCCAGGGCAACACAAAAAACCGTAGCTGTGGAGGTGACTTTGGTTGTGTTGCAAGGGCAGTTCTCTGGGACATTCTAACGTTCTGCAATAAAAAACCACGAGGAATTCCCAAAGCCCTTTTCGCTGTCTGGAGCCCCCGCGTGCAGGCTGCTTTGGGATCCACCACCCTGTCCGACGTTTCTCCCCGTGGCTGCTGTAACTGCGGGCTTTCTGCCTGAATCTCCTGGAATGTACAAAATGTCACCAGGGAATAATGTTTACACCAAGAAACCAGCTTAGAAGATGCTTCCCAAATTCCTACCTGGATTTTTTTTTTTTTTAATTCTTTGTGCAACTGTATCATTCTTTGCCACTCTCAATTATTTGTTCTCTGCCTAACGCAAAATTTAGAACAAACTTCTTCTTTCGACACGTCACCTCTGTAATCCTTCTGTGAGTTTTACACCACCTTATTTACCCGCAGCGCCTCCGGAATCACCCCGGGAGCGTCACAGGGCAGCGGATCTCCTGGGGGCTGCAGAACCTGATGGGAAATCTGAAAACGTGCTGTGCTTTGTGTGCAGATCTCTAGGTATATCTGTCTCCGTATAAAAGAGATTTGCTTCGGTGTCTTTGATGATCTTTACGGAGTGCTAGAGGGCTCGGTGCGGCAGAGTTCACACGCAGTTCACTCCCCAGCCCTTGCTCCTACAGCGGGATAACGTAAACCACGTGGATACCCGCGTCGGTGTGTGCACCCAGGGTTTGGGACCCACGTAGGGAAGATTAAATCAGACATGTAACTTTACTTTGACTTTTAAACCAGTCTCTTTCTAAAATCGTTGTCTTTCTTCAGATTCCAAAATGGAAAAAAAAAGCAGGAAATTCTAAGATTCGTTATATCTAGAAGAAGACTAACACTACTGTATCTGGAAAGACGGGTATTTTATCACTTTATTCATATCAGCAAGGCCAAGTTTTCAGTAGTTTACACTTCTAATAGACAACAATACAGAATTTGCAATTGCATGAACATAATTACTCTTGACACATCCACTACACAGCGAAGAGACTATAGGTATATCCTGTACATCTAGAACGACAGAGCGCTGCCACCTTCTCTGTCCTACGGCGACGATGGTACGACGTATTTACATTTGGCTGTCTTTCAGGTAGTCTCTTAGAGACAAATTAGAAGAGGCGCAGAAACCTCTAGTAACAGCGTTTGAGGTTTCACCGGGTGGTTTTTTTTGTGACCTCGTGGTGATGGTCAGTATTGAATTTTGCTGTCTCTGCAACAGCTGCGCACAGGGTTTGGGACGGAATTAGAGGACGTGTTATTTTTTTTAGGTATGAAAATGAGGTCTTGGGGACAGTAGTCTCTAGGGAAGTATTTCAGATGTCAGCGTTCTGAGAACATATGCTTAGGCCAGAGTTCTTCAAAAAACAGGATTTTTTTTGTTGTTGTTATAAAGATACAATATTGCATAACTGAGGGAAGAATGCTGTTATATTTCTAGAAACAGAGGTAAAACTACAGCGGGTCCTAGGGATTTAGGATCTGTTATCTGATTGTTGTGCTGTGATCAGATCCTGAGAGCGCTGTGAGAAACGTTTAACTTGTTCTTTGATTGTTCATACACCTTAAACCCCCCCACACACCTTTGTTTTTGTGTGTGTGTGTGTAAGCCTGCCACATTAAATGTTCAGAAATACTTGTCACGACAACACTGATACTACAGCACGGTTTGTATTGCTTTTTAAAAACGTTAATTATGAAAGGCTATGGCATCTTCAGAAAGCGGAGAGACAAAGTGGACAGTTGAGCGACTGTCTCGGAGCCCGGTGGCTGTGCAGGGCTGCAATCAATGCAACTGTCACCAAGCAAGGAATTCCTCCTATTTGTGCCCCAGGGTGAGAACACCAGTCATCGATTACAAGGCTTTCGCTTTCACAAATGTAGGTTTGTACACAGTGCTCTGTTTGTGGCACCCGAAATCGTCACCTAAAGTGGCATCAGTTCTGCAAGAAATGTACATCGTGAAATATTCCTGCTCCTGCTTTTTTAATTTAAAACCCCCCTCCATTTCCAAAAACTGATTTGTAGTTGAGCCTGACCTTATTATTGCTTGAAAGACCATACAAATTCATAACTAAGCTAATGTTTCTGCTTAAAGCAAATACCAGGGAAGTTTCTAGTGTGAGCAAGGGGGGGGAAAAAAAGCTCCAACCTGTGAACTAAAGTGAGCATTTAGGTCAGTGCTGGGCCCAAGTTTTATTGCATCTCCCTACGACATTGTACTAAAAACAAAGCCTAAACCCCAGGCTAGGGGTTCCAGAACCTGCGAATCTTTTTCTCGTGCAGGCAAGCGGGTCAGAAAGCTGTATGAAATCAGAATTCCAAGCGCTCGTGATTTCGATATGAAAATTGTGGGGCTCTGACTGGAAAAGGCTGATGATCACACGTTGGCGTTTGGCAGTGGCTGCTGGGTGGGCAGCAAAAGAGGTTTCCAGTGTGAGATTTCGAGCCTGTGTTGGCCAGGCATTACTTCAGAAGAGTTAAAAAGTCAAAATGCTTAAATAATAGACCACGAAATTGCACGTGCTGCAAATTTAGGGGCGTTAATCTCTGTGATCAGTTCAGTGTTACCAGGACGTGGAAGGTTTGGAATATTTTCCCAAGTTTTCTCTTACATTTTCAAGTTACTACTAAAGCATTTCAGCGCCAACTGCATTGCAAGTAACTCATGAATGCCTCCGTGTGCTGTAAATAGCATAATTCTATCATATTTCCCTCAAATTTAACCTTGAAACTGACTGAGGTTTAACCAAACATGGTGATGCTGAATTCC